CCCAGAGAGGTAGGCCCCAATTCCAGGGGGCTGGCTGCTCGCAGCCTCTCCTCTCACTCCTTCCCTGCAGCCGGAGAATCCTGTGATGCTGGGAGTTCCCGTTGGTCTCCTCACCCTGGCTCCTCCTTCCCAGCTTCGTTGGCACGGGAGCCTCGCCCTGCCCTCCCCACACTCTTCCAGGCAGTGCTAGGCTGTGCTCTCCCTGAGGTCAGGGGCTCTGTGGCACCTGCTGCCACATAGCGGTTGGGGTCTTAAACCCCAGGTGAGCGCGTGGCCACTGGGAGCTGCTAGGCCGGCTACTTGTGTCCCCTCCCTGCCTCCTGCATCCCTCAGCTTCATGGAGTCTCCACTCCAAGCCCTCCTGCCCAGGGCACAGGAATCCACTCTTCTCAGTGTCTCACCTCCTGGGCTTATTTATTGGTGTGGCGGTTTTCAAATGTCAACAATTAAGTTAATTTCTGACTCATTGCTGTTGTGGCAACAGTGTGCGTCCTTCCGGAAAGCACGCATCTCCATCAGATGTTAGATCTGAAGGACTCTGAGGGGCCCACTCCATGGATCGCTTAATTGCCAGAGAAGGAGTTCCCATAATTAGAGATTCATATGCCTTAAAAGTCACCAAGTGCCTTTTAATTTAGCAAGCCCAAATCCATAATTGTTTTTCACTTTGCAGAAAATTATGACACTCGGCTCTCGCGGATCGACATCGCCAACACCCTACGGGAGCAAGTCCAGGACCTGTTTAATAAGAAATACGGTGAGTGTGGGCCCGAGGGGAGGGAAGCCTCGTGGTGTGGGCAGAGAAGCTGGAAGCTTCCCAGCTCTGGCCGAGGTCATCTCTGGGGAAACCATTCATCCATTTACACATATATTTTAAAAATTTTTTGGTCTTTTTTTTTTTTATGCTAGAGATCACATATATGCACACCTGAGAGAGACAGAAGAGAGAGAGAGCACCCCCTATGGGACCTCGTTATGCCATAATCCTTTTCCTTCCAGTTCTCCCTTCCATCAGGATCCTGGGTGCATGTATCTGGCATGTTTCTCAAACGACCAGGGCTAGGACTTGAACCGTAGTCAACCAGGTGGGATCTGGCTTCCTTTGCACAGCCCCTAACTCCTGTGCTATGGCACTGGCCCATTGACATGTATTTCTTTCTTTTTTTTTTTTTAAGAATTATTTTATTTAGCTTTATTTATTTATTTTTAATTTCACCAGAGGGGAACAGAGAGAGAGAGAGAAAGTGAGAAACCAAGCCACCAGGTCCGGGACTTGAACCATGGTTGGCCACATGGGAGTCCAGCACCCCCAACCACCACACCACCTGCCAGCCCCTACACGTTTTTTTTGAGCACTTACTAGGTGCCAGGCTCTGTCCCAAGCATTGAGGATGCAGCAGTGAAGCAAATAGACAGTCCTGCCCTTGTGCGCCTGGCGGAACAGTGAGGTGACTTCACCTGCTATGCACAGACTCTGACAGTGAGGAATTGTTCAGAAGCCATGCAGAAAAAGTGAAGGCTGCCTTGGAGAGAAAAACAGGTTTTACCTTAGATTGGGGGCCAGGGAAGGCCTCTTTGAAGAAAGAACTGAAGGATGTTAAGAAATTAATGAAATAGGGACTGGCAGATGGTGTGGTGGTTAAGGGCACTGGACTCCCACATGGCCGACCACAGTTCGAGGCCCAGACCTGGCGGCTTGCTTTCTCACTTTTCCTTTTTCTCTCTCTCTGTCCCTCTCTGGTCTACATTCCCCCCCTGTGAAAATAAAAAAAAAAAAAAAAAAAAAAAAAAAAAAAGAATTACTTTATTTAACTTTTTAAAATTATTTTTCAGTTCAATCAGCTAGAGACAGGGAGGGAAAGCAAGAAAGCAACCCGCCCGGTCCAGGACTTAACCACAGTTGGCCATGTGGGAGTCCAGTGCCTTTAGCCACAATGCCACCTGCTGGCCCCTAAATAAAATAATTCTTTAAAAAAAAGAAATTAATGAAATAGAATGTGGAAGAAGGATAATATTTGGGGCAGCCAGTGGTGTGGGGGTTAAAGCGATTGGATCCCAAATGCCTGACTTTATGTCCCAGACCTGACAGCTGGAAAAACCTGCCCGGCTTGTATGTGTGCATGCCCAAATACTGAGAGGAGAAAGGAGGAGAAGGGATTGCCATGTAGGGGTGCTTTCTCACTTTCCCTTCCCCTGTGAGTCAACTCTCTAGGCAAACTTAAAATAAATAAATAAATAAAACAAGTGTACCCCCTGGGCTGTGAGAATGGCATTGGCTGACCCTCATGATTTGCGGGAGTCAAGAACTGGGAATATTTAGCCTGGGTCTCTCGCTCTGGGTCTCTCCTGTGGTTGCTGTTGGAGGATGGCTGAGGCTGGGACCCTCCCACATCTCACCCACATCTGACCTTGGGCCCCCCGAGTCTCTCCCTGGATCTCTGTGTGATCTCTCCAATTGGGCTTTCCAGCCTGGCAACTTCAGGGTAGCAGGATTTCCTGCTCGTTGGTCTGGGCCCTGGAGGCACCTGTCTGGAGAGAGACTGAGCCAGAAGGAAGCTACATGGCCTCTCCTGGTTCTCGCAGCATCAGCTCTGCTGCAGAGGGTCCGTTCCCAAGCTCAAGGGGAGGCGACTCAGTGCATTTCTCTGTGGGGACGGTCAGTGGGTCGGAGTTCAATGTGAGAGGAATGAGTGGGACAGGAGGGCATTGGTGTCACTGTCTTTTTTTTAGTGTTTATATATTTCTTTTTTCCATAAGTGAGTGAGATAGATAGGTCCTCCCAACAGGGTGATGCTGCCACCTCCTCTCAGCTTCGGTCGACCTCGGCTCATGAGCAGGTGTGCACCTGACATGCTCAAGGAGGTCTCCCGGTGCGAACCCAGAACCTTCCCACGTGGGTCAGCCTCGCAGAGCATTGCACTAGCTCTGCACCATCATCCAGCCCCCTAGCGCTGTCAGACTACAGCTGACCCTGGCTCATTGTACCAGAGTCCAGTGGTGATATGCCTTCAGGTCCAGCTGGAGTCAGGCTGGCATCCTGTTTACTGGCAGAATGGCTGCGGCAGATCCAGGCATCTTATCTGTGTGCTCTGGTGGGGAAAGGGCTGGTTCTGCCACACACCTGATTGGTTTTTTGTTTTTTGTTTTTAGGAATTATTTTTTATTTCATTGTATCCATTGTCATTATTTTAGCTTTTTGAAGTTGACCAGAGAGACACAAGAGAGAAGAAAAGTGAGAAAGCTTGCAAGTTGCCAGGTCTGGGACTCGAACCATAGTCAGCCACATGGGAGTCCAGCCACCTTAACCACCATGTCACCTGCCACCCCGCCCTCCCCCCACAGACTTTTAAGGGAACTAGATGGTTTCTTTCCCCAAATTCCCTGGCAGCCCTCCCATTTCTCATTGGTCCCCACTGAGTCACATGGCCATTCCTTACCCAATCCCTGTGTCAGGAACATGCCACTTACTCGTTGACTCGGGCTTGGGGTACCTGACCTGTCTCAGTGACGAGGTGGGCTCTTCCCTGAGGGAGGGTGGAGCACATGGCCACAGGGGGTCCGTTAGCCAGGAGGTAAAGGGGCAGCGCCTCGCTTAGAGGGAACTAGGATGGGTCCCGGCTGGCTCTGTTAGTTTGAGGTGAGTGGAGAAGACCCACAGGCTGTTCAAAGGCATGTGGAGTGGGCCTAGAAAGTAAGCCACGCTCAGTGAGACACGCATGATACAGCAGTGGTGGCTGCATGTCGCACCCATTTGCCCAAGCCCAGAATGTGCAGCACCAAGGGTGACCCCCTCGGTGACAAGGACGAGTCACTGCAGGGTCACCCGTGGTAATAGATGTACCCCTCTGGTGGGCAACGTCAATAGCAGGGGAGACTGTGCTTGTGTGGGAGAGGCAGGGATAGATGGGAGGGCTCCCCATCTTCCTCCCTATTGTGCTGTGAACCTCAAACTGCCCTTAAAATATAGACTTGAGGGGCTAGCAGGTGGCATAGAACGTAAGGCACTGGACTCCCACATGGCCAACCGCAGTTTGAATCCTGGACCTAGCAGCTTGAAAATCACACTGGGCGCATGTGCGTGTGTGCCCGAAATCCTAAGAAGAGAATGGATGAAAGGGATTGCAGCATGGCCAGAACACCCAGGGGTGATTTCTCACTTTCTGTCTCTCTGTCTCTGTCCAGTGAGTGCACACACCCTGTAGCAAAAATCTCTCAAAAATAAAGTAAAAATAAATAGACTTGAATAAAAAGAAGGAAAATTAAGCCCTGGGAGTAGAAGCAGCACGTGTGGAGAGTGCTCTGTGGACAGGAGAGAGAGCCCAGACCGAAGGCCACGGAGCCCCCAGATTTAGAGGTCAGGTTGAAGACGGGGACGGCTGTGAGAAGGGGGACCAGGAAAGAGCAGCGGCACAGACACCAGGCAGAGCTGCAGGAGGGGCTCCTGATCCGCATTGGATTCTGCTGGACAAACCTCGGGTGTTTACAGGGTTTGTGATGTGAGGCCCTTAGCCTTCGTAGGAAGAGCCATTGCAGAGGAGAGGAGGGAGGGAGATGCAGAGGGCCCCATTTATGGATTGCAAGCATATGTTTCCCCACTGTCAGATTTTTCATTTCAGAAAGGATCTGTTTGCAATAGCGTACGAAGTAGTCAGCTACGAAGTCGGGAGAGAGTGAAACACTGGCGGAAGTCCTTAGAGACAGAGAAGATTAGTGGTTGCCGGGCAAGGGGAGGGTGGGCAGTGACTGCTGAGAGTGGGGTTCCTTTTTGGAGACGTGAAATGTTCTGGAATTCGATCGTGGTGATGTTGCACAACCTTGTGACTATAGTAGCAGCTGCTGGATTAGGGGCTGGTGGCAACGCAGCGGGACCCCCATGGGAAAGATCCTGGGTCGGGTGTGGGGCCCCCTGAGCACAAGGGGTACACATGCCTGTGATCCAAGGCAGCTGAGACATGGGGGTGGGGTAGATCACAGCATGAAGACCCTTCAGGCATGCCTCTCTCTTGGAAGAAATAAAAAATATATCTGTCTATAGGTAGGTAGGTAGGTAGATGATAGATAGATTTTTTTAAGAGAGATTTTTTTATATAGGGCACATGTGCTCACTGGAGAGAGAGACAGAAAGCGAGAAGTCACCCCCCGGAGGATGACCACACTGCAGTCCCTTCTTCATTCTCCTCTCAGGATTTTGGGCATGCACACACATGTGCCCGATGTGAGGTGTTTTTTAACCACCAGCGCCTTTAAGCACCATGCCATCTGCCAGCCCCAAATAAAATAATTTTAAGAATTGAAAGATCCCAAGAAGAGAATGGAGAAGGGATTATTGCGTGGCCATCCCCCTGGGAGGTGATTTCTTGCTTTCTGTCTCTCTGTTTCTCTCTCTCTGTCTTTCTGGTGAGCACTCACGCCCTATAGCAAAAAAACTCTCAAAAAAAAAAAAAAAAGATTCTGTACTGGCTAGATACAGAACACAAATCAGGCTCTGAGTTCCCAGGGAGCCAGAGCAAAAAGAGGAACAGGGTTAGTTTTACAATTTCTAACATCTGTGAGATAAAAGTTAGTTTATTGCACAGAAAAGTTCAGCTGTTCCTCCTAGTCCTGAGACCTGCAGGGATTTCTGCTGAGTGTCTGCCTAAGGAGGCACACTGCCATGCTGCAGACAAAGCTTGTACAAGCTTCCCCGGGGTGGTGGTGGGGTGGCAGAGACCCCATCCCTCTGAGAGGGGGCTCCATGGTGGACCCCATCCAAACCCAAGAGATGTTCGAACTGCGGCTGAGTTTTGAGTGTCAAAATCAGCCTCACAGCTCCCAGGGCTGCAGAGGCTGCACTAGTGAGCTCACAGGCAAGGCCTCAGCCAAGAGGGGTCCTAGGGATCCTAGGGGCCACCCCTCTGGGTACCAGGTCAGCTGCAGGATAAGGCAGGCTCTGGGGGAGGAGTGCCACAGCCCTCCAGAGTTAGTGACAGGAATGAGGCCGAAGTCCGAGGCAGAAGAGAGGGCCCTCGGCCTGGGCTGCCTCTAGCCAGCCTTGGCTGGTGCAGTCTGTCCTCTTGGGCCAGGCTGGTCCTGCAGCAGGGTGAGGCAGGGTCGAGCGGCTGAACATTAGGCCCTGTCCTGTCCCTTGTAACAGTAACCATGCGTCCCTGCCACTTGGCCTGCCAAAGCACAGACTCCCATGCCCGACTCCCCTAGAACACCCCCGTACAACACATCCCTAACGCCCAGCACCCCTCCTCCCCACATCATGCCTTTCTGTGTGCTCCACGAGAGCCCTGTTGTGCTCACTCGTGTTCACCCCACGTATGCACACCCTGCACTGCCTCTCGCCCCTGACGGGTAGGACCGTCCCTCTACCCCACAGGGGAAGCCTTGGGCATCAAGTACCCAGTCCAGGTTCCCTACAAGCGGATCAAGAGTAACCCTGGCTCGGTGATCATAGAGGGACTGCCCCCTGGAATCCCGTTCCGAAAGCCTTGCACCTTTGGCTCCCAGAACCTGGAGAGGATCCTTGCCGTGGCTGACAAGATCAAGTTCACCGTGACCAGGTACTTGGGAGGAAGGAACGGGGTGGAGACGGGACTAGCACGGAGAGGATGGGGCATGGCTCTCCCTGGGTGCTGGGGAGTCTGGGAGGGACTGCAGGCCAGCCAGGGTGTCAGGAGTCAGGCAGAAGTGGCCCCAGCTGCCCCCGCACACGTGGCAAGGGCAGCCTTTGTCGTGCCTTCTGTCTGCCCGGAGTACCTACTGCTCCTTGGACAAGGCAGTCACCCTATGTCACCAGACGAGTGATTCATCCGAGGTCACAGGACCAGCCAGGGCAAAGCTGCACGAGACTCTGGCCACTCTCCTGCACAGTGCCCTGCCACGTGGTCCTGTGTCCCCTGTACACAGGTCACCTAGGCATCTTATTAAAATGCAGATCCTTCTGCAAAAGGTCTGGGGACCCAAACATTTCTAAGCAGCTCTCTGTGAGGCTGATGCTATGTCCCCCAGGCCCTCCCTCTGATAACCGCCCCCCCTATTTCTCTTCCAGGCCTTTCCAAGGACTCATCCCCAAGCCTGGTAAGAGGCACGGGCTGGGGCTGCTGTGGGGGCCTGCTTAGCATGGGGGCCGGCCATGGGTCTGGGGGCCTGAGGTGGGAGCTGAACCAACTGTGGGACCTAGATTCTAGGGCCTCTGCCCTTCTGTTCTTCCACCTCTCCCGAGCGCCTGTCCCAGAAGGGTAGAGGAAAGCCAGGCTGGAACCTGGGACCAAGGGGGCCAGAGAGGCACTTCTTCGTTTCGCCAAGCCAGGGTT